TAATGACTTATAGTGATTTATAGCAAGTATATTATAATAAAATACCAGATTCATTTTTATTCGATTACAAGCATATCTCTCGACTAAGCTATTTTTATATTTACATGCATATGCACGACGCCTGGCTCACCCTAGATCCCTGCCAGTTCCACAGTTCCTCGATAGTTCTAGGGCGCTGGCGAGTTTCTATAAGTCATGAGATGATCGGCCAATCAGATTTTGCGCAGAAAATGAATTAATTACATGGCGCAGTAGTCAACAAATTAGTCATGGTTTTTCGAAATCTTATTGGAAGTATCAAACTAGTATAGCGATCAAATTATATTATGTATTGGTTAGTGCATGTAGAGTAAAAAAAAGCCCGATATGGTCAGATATATAAATGCTTTAACTATGATATTAAAAAGTCTATGCACCTTTGGGCGCTAGTTAAATATTCGATGAAGCATCGGGAAATTCACGTGCGCGTTCCGTTTCAGAACGCCGATCACTTTATCTTTCGAACAAATATAGTGCAATAAATGATGTTTCTTGTAAAGGATCCCAAAATATGTCTGACATGCAATAAAGTAAACGCTTTTATGTATGAAAAAGTGGCAATTTATTTTTCCAATGCACATGCTACAAGCATACACAGTACTTTAAAAAAATACAAGCAGATTAACTGTTAATAGCGTGTGAATTACAATTACAACAACTAAAAGCTAAATGCTATTGATACGATTTCATGTTACTCTGTCGCAGTAAATACAATTTGTCACATCTTCCGTTTTGAAAAAAAAGATATTAAGTGCTTTTCTTCCTAGCCTTCTTTTTTGGCGTAATTTCAACTACAAACTTATCCACATTTTTAATTTCAACGGGTTTGTTCACTGACTTAACTGTTTTTAAAACATCGCACTGTAATAATAAAACAAAACCCTATCAGTATCCTACTAGGACCTCTATGAATACTAATTACCAATTTGTTACCTGAAAATCCATTAGCATTTTCATGTCCATAGAAAATTGTTCTATGTCATCAAAGGAGGTTGGGATTTTAATGCACACAAACTCTTCGTAAAGATATACTGAGGGGAGGGGTCGAACCATAAATCGTATATGGATTTGTCCATCTTAAAGGAAAAAAAATCATGTAAAGCTAAAAGGAATATGCAAAGCCATAACTTTTCCTTTACCATATTGTGATACTTACTAACGCATTGAATCGTGTATACACGTGCCTTCTTACAAGGGACTGAATCTAATAGTTTGTTTAGGATTCGGGTCGCATTTCGAGCAAGCTTCACGTCATCGCTAATTTCCTTATTTTCGGGAGCCAATTTACCGTAGGAGAATTCAACAATACATATCGTCTGATGTTCTTTCTTTCTCATTTTGATAACTTTTAAAGCACCGTCTATTTTTCGTTTATTTGTATCTTTGGTAAGTATCTCAAGCCTGTATCAAATAAAAAGAAATTAATAAGCAATATAAACTGTTATGAATTAAAATTGAACTTACCATGTCCGTTCTAGAACGTCTTGATGCATTCGGAAGAGCCGGTTTATAACATATATTGTTGTATCGATCGCATACGTTTGACTCTGAATTATTTGGTGCTTCTAAACGTACAGAACTATTTATTATGATTGATGTTAGCCATATCTTCTAGCACATCTTTAGAAACAAGGAAAACCTACAAATGGTTCATGATATCATGCACAATGTCGTATCCTTCGTGAAGAAATGGATCAAAATATTCTTCAATAAAAGATTTTCGAACTAGGAATTTTGACTCGGTTACAGGCATCATCTGTGAATTGATCACAGTAATTTTTAAATTCAGGCGTTGGAATCCAAGCCTGTTTCTCTAATACTTTATCGAGATATAGCTTTTGATCAAGATTCAATGTAGATAGTGTTTCGTGCTTCATTTCATTATCAGTTAGATCAATGATGTTATTAAGAAAATTAGAATCCATAAAAGTCTTTCCTAATGAATGGTCTTTGGATTTGAATTTATTAAGAATTCCAATTAGGGTTTTTCGAAGCAACACTTCATCTGGTTGTAGTGATTTCAACTGGAAGATTGAGCAAAAATAAGTATACTTTTTATATATAGAATAATGTATAAAGCAGAAGGCATAATACCTCAGGCGAATCGTTAGACAATTCTAATATGAGGTCATTATCCGATTCCGAGATTCCTTGGCTTTCACCTTCCGCGAACCCTCCTCAGCCGAACTAGGAGGGGTTTGGACATATCTTGTTCGTTTATTCTGTAACTCTTCATGATCATCCTGTTCTTTTGCCAGAACCTCAGATTCTAACGTGCGCTTTGGTATCCTTATCGTTTCGTTACTAAATTCCATAAAACTATCAGAAACACACTGATGAATTTTCGATACTGCTTCTGCATTATTCCGTAGTTGAGAAACCTGTAACATAATATATATCGAAATTGTTTAGTAAAGATAACGTATTATAGCTATGTTTCGTGAATAAAACCGGATACCTTGATACGTTCTATCTCAGCAAGCTCAATAACTTTCTCATTTTCTATCGATTGCAACTTTCGCTCTGTCTGATATCGATTCTCAAGCTGTTCAAAATACTTCGTTGTTGTTGGTGAGGATTTCCATGCCTGTTATCGTGAAACATGAAAGAAATAATTAAACTTGGCCAAATAATACATAAACAAAATCAAACCCTCATTATTTAAAGAGCATAAAAGGCCATGACGAACTAACAGTCCAACACATGGTAACTAACAGTCCCAGTGTTTCACAGGAGGCTGAAGAGAAGGACAGACTAACAGTCGATCTTCCAGTTGACTAACAGTCCCCTGGCTCAGTCCATATCTCCATTACCTCTTCAGATTTGTAGCAACAGAAACAACTAACAGTCACTTCATGATGCATACAATCCTATCCTAGGCATATGCTATTCATATATGACATTCACCTGAAATTCCTTGCGAAGATCTTTTGCCTTTTGTCGTATGTCCTCCTTAATCAACTTGTTATTATCAGTTTTCTCAAGTCGTTTCTTTATGTGATCAAGAATCTTCACTTTGTCACCTTTAAGCTTCTCACACGAACCGCACCAAGAAACAAAATCGTCGAGATTCCACAGCTCCGGTAAAGTAATTTGTAGATAGTCGTCCATCTCAACAACCTTCATAATAGTCTGATAACGGAGAAGAGTTACGTGACGACTTACGTGATTATGATCATATTTTTATATGGTGATTTGTGTAACACTCGATCACTATTACGATGCTATTACGATTTAGGGCGTTCTCACGCATGTAATTGGCTATTTGATCGAAGAAATACAATTAATTGAAATATTACACTTTTTAGCTCCTTTTTTTTCGTTGAAATGGTCACTAATTTCATTTTCGATCCGTGCCTTACACACGTTATTATGGAAAATTTATTAGACACACTGCGCCAAATTTTGTTGAGAAGCGTGATGTTAAGGCATGTGACGAAATTCATGTGAATAGTTTCACTGCGTCTATTGTACGCGTGATGATTGTCAAAGATTTTCTCGGCAAAGATCAGAATGGCGATACATAGCAAGAAGAGTAATATATCCGTTTTATTTTGGAACATCTATAGAGACAGAAAAATCGATTAACATCATGATGACATGTCTCAAGAAGCTAACCGAGCAATAAAATCAACATACCTTATTATTGTTTTGCAGAATATAGGAGTTCGTTTGATCAAGGATATTAACGATGTAAATAATGGTATGTTAGATTGGTTTTGATTTTTCGTTTTACTTGCACAAGGTGAATAAAAGGATTCACTAACCAGGTCATCACCTTTTTATATAATTCACAGAATCGATTTTGTTATATGCTTTTGGGGAA